GAGAGTGTGAGAGTGTGAGAGTGTGAGAGTGTGAGAGTGTGAGAGTGTGAGAGTGTGAGAGTGTGAGAGTGTGAGAGTGTGAGAGTGTGAGAGTGTGAGAGTGTGAGAGTGTGAGAGTGTGAGAGTGTGAGAGTGAGAGAGTGTGAGAGTGTGAGAGTGTGAGAGTGTGAGAGTGTGAGAGTGTGAGAGTGTGAGAGTGTGAGAGTGTGAGAGAGTGAGAGTGTGAGAGTGTGAGAGTGTGAGAGTGTGAGAGTGTGAGAGTGTGAGAGTGTGAGAGTGTGAGAGTGTGAGAGTGTGAGAGTGTGAGAGTGTGAGAGTGTGAGAGTGTGAGAGTGTGAGAGTTTTAGAGTGTGAGAGTGTGAGAGTGTGAGAGTGTGAGAGTGTGAGAGTGTGAACAGGCCTGACCGGTGAGAGTGTGGAGTGGTGAGGTGTTAGAGTGTGTGAGAGTGTGAGAGTGTGAGAGTGTGAGAGTGTGAGAGTGTGAGAGTGTGAGAGTGTGAGAGTGTGAGAGTGTGAGAGTGTGAGAGTGTGAGAGTGTGAGACTGTGAGACTGTGAGAGTGTGAGAGTGTGAGAGTGTGAGAGTGTGAGAGTGTGAGTGTGTGAGTGTGTGAGAGTGTGAGAGTGTGAGAGTGTGAGAGTGTGAGAGTGTGAGAGTGTGAGAGTGTGAGAGTGTGAGAGTGTGAGAGTGTGAGAGTGTGAGAGTGTGTGTGTGTGTGTGTGTGTGTGAGAGTGTGTGTGAGAGTGTGTGTGAGAGTGTGTGTGAGAGTGTGTGTGTGTGTGTGTGTGTGTGTGTGTGTGTGTGTGTGAGTGTGTGTGTGTGTGTGTGTGAGTGTGTGTGTGAGAGTGTGAGTGAGAGTGTGAGTGTGTGTGTGTGTGTGTGTGTGTGTGTGTGTGTGTGTGTGTGTGTGTGTGTGTGTGTGTGTGTGTGTGTGTGTGTGTGTGTGTGTGTGGTGAGAGAGTGAGAGTGTGTGTGTGTGTGTGTGTGTGTGTGTGTGTGTGTGTGTGTGTGTGTGTGTGTGTGTGTGTGTGTGTGTGTGTGTGTGTGTGTGTGTGTGTGTGTGTGTGTGTGTGTGTGTGTGTGTGTGTGTGTGTGTGTGTGTGAGAGTGTGTGTGTGTGTGTGTGTGTGTGTGTGTGTGTGTGTGTGTGTGTGTGTGTGTGTGTGTGTGTGTGTGTGTGTGTGTGTGTGTGTGTGTGTGTGTGTGGGTGATTCATGTATCCTTCGTGCGGTGTATCTTCGCATACATCATAAAAATATCATAGTAAAGCAATATCATGATAATGATGTGACATGATGTCATGTATATATCATATACAGCATGCATCCACTCGCATCTCATGGCGAGCTGCGCGCCCTCGAGCTGCGCTTTGCGCAGCCCCAGGTTCTTGGCCAGTTTCATGGCATGCTTCAGCTCAGAAGGCCCAGACCTGAAGCGATTTCTATGAGTCGACAGGCTTCAAATGGCTTCAGGTTCAGGTTCCTTTCAGGAGGTTTCTGAACGATTCTGAACTTCATCCGGTTGCAGGTTTCAGGTCGCCTCACTCTCAGGACCTCACATGCACGCTGCCAGCGTACCTCCGAAAGTCGGGCAGAGGTCTCAAGTTTCATGTGCCTTGCATTGACTTTCTTAACTTCAGCCAACTGAAGTGCACTGAAGAACACTGACGTGCGGATGTGTTGAGCGACCTAGTCACCTAGTCCGCGCCTTGACCGGTGAGCAGGGTGCAGCCCAGCAGCATCCACCGCACAGCTGCTTGCCCCTCGATCGTGGCCAGCCCTAAGGGCCAAGAAGCCAAGCACATGCCAAAGACAGCACCGAACGGAAAAACTGAAAGACTGCAGAGGAAAAAAGGAGAAGTCAGAAATCTTGCTCGGCAAGCGTCTCATCTCTGCGCGGGCTAGCAAGCTCGCATCCGCAGAGCATTGCTTTGCTTCCCGCACAAGATCTCTCAGTACAGCACCTAGTTGTACCTTGCTTCACACCGATCGCAGCGAGCGTCACATTCGAAGCCAAGCCACGTATTTCGGCGAGCTTTCATCCAAGGCTTCTCCAAGTCTCCTCAAATCGCCCGACTCTCGCGGCCCGAGCAGCGGCTCAAAGCTTAAACTTGCTCAGCCCTGCGCAAGGAATACATCAGACTGGCTCAGCCCGTGCGCGGGCGACACTCGATGGGCAAGACATTCTCAAGGCTTACTTCAGAGCTCTCAACGCAAACTGCGTGGGCGAGTTTTGCGGGCGAGTGCCACTTGAAGACCCAATTCCTATGAGTCGCCGTGAGCAGCATGCAGGCAGAACAGGGCAGCACAACATGACCAGTCAGGATGACAGCAACTAGAAAACAAATAGGTAAACTGGCACGAACATGTGTACCAGTTGGGTTCTGTCAGTAGTCGTTGCGCATCCTTGGCGTGATGATGTGTGGCGACGTGCAATGCTTGTGCATGCGTGCTTCGCGCATGTGGCATGTGCCTGGTGCATTGACAATTGCCAGAAGCCCCTCCCCTTTTTCGTCATGTCTGAAATTTCTTCATTTCATCCTTCGGTTTGCTCAATTGGTTATTCGGAGCTATTCGTCATCTTCAGTTTGCTCTGCCTTCTCTCCGAGGCGCCCCTCGGCGCCGTTCCTGCGCTCAGCGGCCCACAGAGAGTCGCGGCCCTGGCGCAGCAGGGCCGTCAGGTCGGCCTGCGCAAAAGTTGCTCACAAAACAAGCGAATGTTTGGTGGCTCGGAGATCGAGACATCGATCGCTCGCGGGAATGCGATGCGCAATTCAACTCGGGAACCTCGATGAAAGGCGAAGTCGCTGAAAGAGAAAATCAATCGAATGGCATAGGAATGGCAACCGAAATCCGAACGGCTCGCGCTGAAGTCAATCGAGACGGGCTGCGGCTACGTCGCCTCCGGGCTCCTCGACACGTGCGGCTTGGAGCCCTGCCCAGTTTCGCTCCGGACCGCTCCTGAATGCGAGGCGCGTGAAGTCCGGAGCGTCTAAAAGTGAAGTGCCGCCAAAGCTCCGACGGAGCTTTGCAGCTCCTCTTCGGCGGGTTCGACCGATTCCTCCCGTTCCGTGTCCGGCATGGTGTGACTCACCTAAGGCCAACTCAGCACTCTGAAGTCCACACCGGCCCTGTTGCCTTTGATCAGACAAGTTGCAGCCTCCGCTTCAGCCAGGGCCAATCGAAGAGCTGGCGCATCGCTGCGCCGCATGGCATCTTGCACCCTGTGCTGCACGAGCCTCGGGGTCGAGCCGTGCCCAATGTCATTGGGAACTCTCTGAGCGCCGAGCCGGAGCCACTTCTGGCGCAAGACCTGCCAGGCCGACCCCAAGCGACCCGAGCGACCCAAGCCGCCCAAGCAGGAGCCAAAAAAGCTGGCACTGCACTGGTTTCCAAACAGACAAATTGGAACATTTGGACTTGCACTTTGCAGCACCAACAGCTTTGTGCTTGAACCCTTCGCTCCTCAACCTGGCGCAGAAAAACGAAAGGGCAAAAACAAAAAAACCAATCGTGCACTGCCCAACTTTTTTTCAATGAAGATGTTGGTGTCCATTTGGTGTTGCTCCTTGCCAAATCGACACCCGCTGTTGCTAGGCAGATACGAGGACTTGAAAGGCCAAAGCCATGTTGCGTGACCTGTTGCAAAAGTGAAGGAAGCCGAAGCACACGAAGCACACGAAGCACACGAAGCACACGAAGCACACGAAGCACACGAAGCACACGAAGCATATCTCAAAAAGCCAAGCGGGAGAGCTGTCCGGCCTCGACCGCCTCGCGGAGCCGGGACTCCTCGACCTTCTGGGCTGCTCTAGCGCACAGGAGGCATGCTTCGTGGCCTGCACGAGCGCCGAAAAGTCCGAAACGGCATGCGTAACCGGGCGTAACCGTCGTAACCGGGTACGGTGAGTGCCAAGTGCCATTTGCGCCACTTTGTCTCTTGGCGTCCTAAGCGTCTCTTAAGACGCACTATCTTAATCTATCTTACCCCATCTGTCCGTTCGCGCCTTCCCGTATGGCTTGGTCCAGGCACGCCATTCGTTTACTGGGCTCCTGGCTTGCGAAGCTTGAAACGAAGCCTTCAATCAAGCGTTCCCAAAGTTCCCATCGAGGTCCGAGTGATGCGTCAGTTGCGTCCGAATCGGCCTTCTCGCCGTCGGCCTCTAAGGCTTCCCAGGCATCGGCGAGGCGGTTCCGCGCGCGCTGGGAGGCAAACACCGCGTTTCGCACTGCTAGGCCTTGGACTCGACTCACGTTATCACGATATCACGATATCACGATACGATACGTTCGAAGCACAACTTCCATGGAACGACGGGGGAAATGTCATGGCTCCAAGCCACGGCGTTGATGCGCCTCCATCCTCTGCCGTGCTTCCAAAAGCCTCACCCAACTCTCACATGCTGTCCGAGCTCTCCCACTAAGCCCGCGCGTCAACAAGTCTTCTGTGTCTGAGGTCTGAGGCCCAAAATACATCAAAATACCCACAAGCTCACCCTTCCCCCTGCTGCGGCGCAACTCGTGCTCGGGCACTCCCGCTTCGGCTGCCTCTTTGATGGAACACTCGAGTTCCTCGGATCCGAAATTCTGAAATGCCGAAATGAGCCGCAAGACTTCGCAAGACTTTGCAAGACTTCGCAAGACTTCGCAAGACTTCGCAGGACTTCGCAGGACTGTCATGCAGATCCGAGGCGGCAAGCTTGTTCTTCTTCAAGGCCTCGTCCACGCGAGCTTTGGCAAAGTCCGCTTCCACTGAACACCTCACTTCCGTGCGTCTCCACTTCACTCCCATTTCCGTGGTGCGTGTCATGGACTCTCAGACTGTCAGAGGCAAGGGGCGTGTGCGGAAGCACTGGTTTTGGACTTCGTTCCTGCTTCAGCCTGCCCAAGACTCAAGCCAATTCCAAGGCGCTCTCTATTGGGCCCCTGCCTCTGCTGCCAATGCTCGATGGCCGAAATCTCCCCTTTTTCTGTGTCCGTCTTCTCCGTCTTCTCCGTCTTTTTCTTCTGTGAAGCTGAGCGCTTCGGCCTGCATTGGCTATGGGAGGGCGGTTTCGGGCATTCTCAGTCCAGGTCCTTGGCTCCGGCACGAACACGGGATGCTTCGGGCCCAGTCCTTCACATTGAGATTTCCATCCAATGCATCCAGACGCGGCATACGCGGTTGCGCATGCTCACGAGCTCACGCCATTCTCAAGTCCTCTTTGCCTCAGAGCCTTTTCCATGTGCTCCAGCCGACTCACCTGGAATTCTCGACTCGACTCGATTGATTGGTCTGCGTGGAAAAGGCGTGAAGGCGTGCGTAAAAGGCGCGCGCCTCGAAGTCCACCTTGCGAGCGCCTTCCCAGCAGGTGTTCTTCCGACTCTTTGCCGCCTGCAGGGCGTGCTCGGGCTGCTGGAAGTGCACCTCACAGCCACACAGCACTCGGACACTGCGTACTGCGTACCGCGTTCTGCATGTTCCGCCCATCTCCGCACATCTCCGCACATCTCCGCCGTCCCCGCATGTCACAGGCAAGCTGCCAAGGCATAGTTCTCCTAACCGGCACCAACCGCCGTCACGAGGCATTGTGACACGCGTCGCGCCGTGTGGCCAACGGAACCCATCCGACCCTCCGACCCTCCGACCTGTCCTCTGGCACCATGGCACCCGAGACATAGCCTGATCCGAGCATCAAGCAGCTCGACATATCACAATTGCATCGCGCCACGCCTGTGCATCCGCTGAAAAGGATATGCAGCTCTCTGCTGGTAGCATCAGCTGGAAGGCCACACACGGCCAAGCACGCCTTGGAAAGGAAGTGAGCCAAGTGACCAGCCAAGCAACATGTCCACATCGAACCCTGGAAGCGCCATTCCGACCATTCCTGAGGTCCTGGCCTCAATCACCTTGGCTGTCGCTTGAAATGACCCGATACGGTGTTGCACTGTGCAGTCAAAGGGCCTTGTCACCTGGCGCCGGAAAGTGAGCTGAGAAGCTCAAGGCTATGGCTAAGGACAAGCGGCCTCCAGCCGCGCTTCTTTCAGGTGCCATGGCATCGCAGGTTTGGATGGGTCTGGGCGTCTGGATGGGTTTGACAAGGCTGTGAGCCGCTTTTGACAGGGCCTTCAAAAAGAGTTCTTGCAAAGCCCTTGCTTAAAGCGGGAGCTATCCAACCTGTGCACAGTAGTAGCCCTCCTCATCATCCCAATCTTCCGTCGATGCACCTCACGAATGCCCTCAGCCCCCCCTCCGGCCTCGCCAAGGCATCGCATTTCAACCGTCCTGTGGTCGCGATGTTCTGCAGGCGCTTCTGCCCGGCCCTAGGCGCCAGTCCCCTTGAGGCCCTTTGGCAACTTTGGGTCTGGAGTTCGCTCTCTGAGCAGCACGCTTCAGCTCCTTGGCGTCCAGATTGAGATCGAACCTGGCACCACCCGATGGGCTTGGCCGATGCGCGATGCGCTCGGCCACAAATGCTCGCGTGTCTGGGCCCTCGCGCATATCGCCGCCGCCGCCGTCCTCCTCTCTCTCCTGCCAAGTCGCCAAGTCTCACGGCAGTGAGCACACGGTGTAAACGAGCAGTGGGATGCAGTGGGTGCAGCAGCTTCAGGCTCAGTATCGGCCCCTGATAGCTTCCAGTGCAAAGGCACCCAAACACACCCGGGCACTACGCTGAGAGCGCCGCTAGTCTCGGATGTCCTGAACTGAACAAAGGAAACTCTCTATTCCTCTTTCTGTCTCTTCTTGTCACTTGCTATATCCTGCCTCTTGTATCCCGCCTCTTGCTCGCTCTCTCTCTCTCTACCTCTTCTTCTCTCGTTTTGTCTCTTGTCTCTTGCTCTCTTCTCTATTATGTCTCTCTTCTCCTTTATGTCTATCTTCTCCTCTCCCTCTTTCTAGCTTTGGCCTTGTGATCTCCATCGGCTCCGGCTCCGGCCCCTGAAGTCATTCGAATTGCCGGAGGCGTTAGGCCTGTTAGGCTTCTCGGCATGTTGCCATCACCAGCGGCACACGGCAGTCATTTTGTCACCTCTGGGCTGGAGCGGCACACCATGCGCAGATCCCGGGATCACCGTTCGGATCACCTGGAGCTTGAGAAGCCGAAAGTACGATTGAAGCATTTGAAGTACGAAGGACCCCCAGCTGTCTAGCGCCGAGCTTAGCGCCCGGGCCTTCTTCTAGTGAGGTGTGCCGTCCGCAGAAGCCGCACAGTAAATGCGGCTCGCTGAGAAGTGGCCTTACCATCGATCGAAATCGATCGAACTCAACGTGCTTGAGCCCAGCTGACGATCTCAATTGGGTGGAGGCACAGCAGCTTGCGCTGGCAGAGCGGCACAGCGTGCAGCTGGCAACTAGTCCGCGTCCTCAGGAAACAGCCATTGGAAGTTTGCATGGGCGCTGACTGAAGCCACACGTTTCATCTATATGCCAGGCCGAGCTGCATGGCTGGATCAATGGAGGCTGTCTTCTTGCAAAGGCGGCAGCTGACTGTCAAGCCTTTGGAGCCACTCCTTAGGTCTCGGCCGGCGGATGTCTTCAGTTGATTCAGGGTCAGTGCATAGGCAAGGAGCTGTTGAGCCAAGTGAGCGAGCACCTTGTCTCGAGCCGGGCTGTTCTTGGGCAGTGTCCCGGAAGTCCCGGAGAGCCGCTGCTGCCAGTACCGCAAAGTCGCCGCCAGTAGCACGGAATCATTCGCCTCATTCGCCTCATTCGCCTCCGTGTACTTCCGGTCCTGGTAGGTCTTTTCCTTGGTGGCGTTGCGGCCCAGCTGCAGCAGGGCGTTGCGCAGCTGGCACGCGGCCAGACTCTCGGCGAGCTCGTCCCGCAAGAAGTTAAGGAAGCGCTTCTGGGCGTCGCTGGCGCTGGCCCAGCGCTCCGTGAGGCTCTTGGATGGGACCTGCGGCGGTCGCAGGTTGCTCGCCGCCTGCTGTCGCAACACAAAGTTGGACCGCCCCGAGCTCTGGCAGCTCTGGCTCACTTCCGCGATGCTCTGGCAAATGGCCACCAGCGTGTCTGCGATGCCCCAAAGCCATGTCAGGGTGGCCTCACATGGAACGGCTTGCAACTTGCCGACCGCCTCCCCAAAACGCGCAAGGAAAGCCAAGAACGCAACACGGACAAGGCAAAAGAGCCTCAAAAGAAAAGGCTTCGTAACCGTCTCGCAACACAAAACCACTGAAAGCCACTGAAAGCCACAAGCGCCTCCAGCACCGGGCACGGCAGCTCGGTGGCCTCTGTGGGCTTGAGAGGCAGGGCCGGAGCCACCACGGCCCGCCACGCGCAGTGCACATCCCAAAGGCTTAGCCGCAGACTCGGACCCGGACCCGGACTCTCCCGGCTCTCCCGGCTCTCCCGGCTCTCCCGCAGAGCCTGGCCCGCCCGCCACAGCAGCGCGCCGAAGACTTGCTCCGGGTCCCCCAGAGGCGTTGCCAGCACATAGGTCACCTCGCTCGAGTGAACTCTAGCCAAGTAAATTTAAGGTTTTGCATAGGCTTGACCATGGGCTTCACGTCAAGATTGCCTAGACATCGATCTTAAACCTTGGAGTCAGCCTCACCTCCGGACAAGTCATCATAGGACAAAGTGGCTGGCATCGCAACAAGCATATTAAAATTTATTAAAGCCAAGTGTCGGGTCGCATCTGCGTGGTGCGGATTGAGGTTGCCACGCTCTGCACGACGAGCATGCAGTGGGATGCTGACAGCGCTGCGCCGCCTTCGGACGCACAGCAAAAGTTGCTCACAACTCCCACAGAAATGGAAGTCTGCCAAGTGCATCGCAGCTGCAGAAGAGATTGCCCTGAGCGCATTCCCGCTCGCGGGCTGCTGTTCTCACCATGCGAGCTTCCATGCAAAGCGCCGCTTGCTCCACGGACGTGAGGAAGTTCTGCAAGCTTGCTGGCACCTCCGCAGCTCACGCTCTGCCAGCGTTGTGAAGCATTCTCTCGCATATCTCATGTTGGGCCGCGGGCCAAACTGCACAGCTTGGCCACCTGCATCATGCCGCCTGCGCGTGCCACAAGGATGAACAGAGTGAGACAAACGGGGATTGGACAAACCAAGGCATGTCGTGACATGTCTGTTCCAAAAAACAGCCGCGGGGCCCTCGAGCCGCCAAATGACCGCGTGGCCCAGAGGGTCCAAGGACAGCACGTTGGCCCTTGCCACGAAGCTCTCATGGCGCAGAGTGGTCAAAGACCCCGAAGTGTCACAGCAAAGCGACACCACTGGCAGCCCGTGCTGCGGGGCATGCGCAGCGAACCGGGTCACGGATTTCACCTCGCTGTTGGACAGGACCAGAACGGCCGCCGACACCTGGACCCCGTGCGACACGGCCACCAGCAGCTCCATCCCATTGCCAAACTCTGTGAGGACCCGCACCTCTGAGATACAGCTCCGCACCTCCAGGACTGGCACGGACGACATGGACATCGAGGCCAAGGCCAGCTTCCTGCCGTAGACGTTCCCCAGATTGGTGCCCAGCGCCAGGAACATGACTTTGCGGCTGCTGCGTGAGAAATCCAAGCTGGTGATGACCTCGTTCTCCAGCACAACACGCTTCAGCACCTGGAACCTGCGCTCTTTCTCCTTGGATTTCTCGGAGGGTCTCTCCTCCCAGAGCACGGCGCAGGAGCCCCGTGACGCACAGAGCAGCGAGCGCGAGCCCTCGAGCGGCGTGGGGGCGAAGCACACCTCCACCACTGCAGACTCCGACCTGAGATCCTCACTGAGGTCCGCCACGGGTGCTGCCGCATCGCAGGGTGCAAACACCAGCCTGAATTTCTGAATCACAAAACTTGACACGCTGGCAAGTCGAATGCAACTTGAGGGGCAGCCGCCCCGAAGTGTCCGCCAGCGCCAGCAGGCTTCCCACCGGCGACCAGGACATGCTGCAAGGCACCGGCTTTGAGGTATCCAGCACCTGAGAACGTGAGAACTCGCGACACATCTTCCTTTCACTTCATTTGACAAGCTCTGCGCACGGGGCCTGGCCGGCACTAACACTCAAGGGCAGGGGCATGCTGCACCAGCGAGCCGTCGCGCAGCCGCTTTGGTCTCGCCTGCGCAACTGCGGCTTTCGAGAGCCTTTGAAGCCTTTGAAGCCTTTGAGCCCTGGCCTGGGCCACCTTCAACTTTCGCCTCGGATGGGCTATCGGGCTATGGGCGGGCTATCGGCCTGCGAGAGCACTCTGAGTGCAGGACACTAACCTCAGATGCGTCACGGCACGGCCACACGACAGCCACAGCGCATGGCAAATTAGCTGCAGCCGAAGGTCCAAGCTTCCCCGGTCTTCTCCAGGGCCGCCTGCATGTCGACCACATGGCACTCCTCCTCAGTCCTGAGAACGCACGGCAAGCACCGCAAGCACCGCAAGCACCGCAAGCACCGCAAGCACCGCAAGCACCGCAAGCACCGCAAGCACCGCAAGCAGCCCAGAAAAACACCAGGCAGCCCGAGTCAACCCGAGGGCCAGGCAAGAACGCGAGCAAAGTCCCCTGAGACCAGCAGGGCGAGCACCGACCAGAGCCCAACGCTGATGCCGCCGCCACCCAGGGCAGCTCGAGCTCCATAGCATCGTGCGTTATGTCTATACCAGATCGCACAACTCCCATGTGTATGCAAATGTGACGGTTCTTCGCTCCAACATGACACGGCGAAGTGCTCATGATAGTTGTGACAAGGCACAAAAGGCAACCGGACAACACGTCTAAAACACGTCTATGGCTCTTGAACCAAGCGAGTTGCGTCCACCAGCACCGGCAATCCCACGGCCCAGGCCGTCTCGTTCGCCTGATTCGAAGGATCCTTCTTCGAATTCTCCTTCACCTTTCCGCGAAGCCGATGGCCCGCGTGGCTTACGTGGCCGCGGCTTACGTGGCCCGCGTGGCCCGCCTGGCCTGGGCCAGCATGGCAGCTCGGCGCTTTCGGCTTTCCTCCAGCTTCCGAGCGGCCTCAACTCCGACTCCGCTTGCCCTATATAACTCCGCTTGCCCTATATAACTTTATATAACATATTCTAGCCGTCTAGCCGTCTAGCCGTCTAGCCGTCTAGCCGTCTAGCCGGCTAGCCGTCTGGAACTGAGATGCCCGCGGCCTCCTCATCGTCCGAGTTGTCTCGAAGGTCCTCTCCCTGCGATGTCCGATCCGACGAGGGGAGCTTCTCTTGGGACTTGCGCCTCCTCCGCCTCTTCCCTCCAATTGATCGGAGGCTTTGGCGGCTCCTTTGGAGGCGACTGCCTCAGCATGCGGCAACGCCTCGACGCCTCGTTGGGATGTTCGAGGCCATGAGCCCGCGGCCGTGGAGGGCTTTCCCTCTCCCTCCAGGCACCCAAAAATAAGAAGAAAAAAAGAGAACGGAAACACCAGTGAGGAATAGAAGGAATGCATATCGCGATTGCCCCCGCCTGCGCTTTCGATCCTCCCTCTCCCTGTCTCTCTCTCGATCCTTGTCTCTGATCTCCCTGTCCTTCTCCCTACGGTCCCCGCGATCTTTCTCCTTCCTGACGCGTGTCCGAGCGGATTTGCACATTGGCACACTGCACATCTCGCCAAGGGCACTTCTCTTTCTTGTCATCGCGCTTGCGCTTTCGCTCCTCAGATCGCAAGGTCGCAACTCACCAAGCCCGTCTGTGGGATCTCCAATCTGAGGGCACGGCGTACGGACTTGGACTGGCATCGCGGCGGCGCCCGCTTTTTCGCCTCACCGCCCGCTTGCCCCACCAACTTGAACAACACCGATCCGATCTTTCTTGCGACGTGTGCCTGTGTGAACTCAGCTCTGTCAACAAGAAGGAAATCAGAAGAAAGCTGGTCGGGGAGGAAAAAATATGTTTTAAAAAAAACACAACGGCTGCTGTGCAAGTACCCCAGGCCGGATAGCCCCCTCAGAAATTTCACAGTCGACAGCTCGTACAGCTTCGGAGGCTACGGCAGCGGCTCGCCACGGGAAGCCATGACCTCGGGCGAGCTCTGAATTTCTCGCTCGTCCGGAGGCTCCACGGCGCTGGGGCTCTTGGGCTCTTGGGCTCTGGCTTCATGTCCGTAGCGAACGCTCTTCAGCGGGCCACCGTCAGCTAGCCAAACGGCCAAACGGCAATGTGAAAGATACGGCGGCCTCCAACGACTCAAAGCTTCTTCCGGACTTGCTCGAAACGCCGAAAGGAGTCGAACGGATGCCGCGCTTTGTCCGCTCACGGGGCTCCGCGAGCGCGACCGGCCCAGCTGGTCTGCCCGGAGCTCCACCTGAAGCGACGTAAATGGAGATCCGGTAAGCCATGCAAGCTCGGAGCGCGAAAGAAGATGTTGGAAATGGAAATCGAAATGAAGCTGAAAAGTTAAAATGTAACAAGGAAATGAAGGAAAGCAAGGGGTCTTTCAGACCTCGGACCTCGGAAGGCCACGGACGGACGGACTCTCAGCATCGGATGCAAAACGAGGCGCCGTCCGCGTCGGGGGCTGGCGGACCTTGGCCAGCGCCAGCAGCGAGTGCAGCCGCTCCGCGGTCGAGCCTTCGAGTCGACGGAGAGACGAGGCCCCAACGGATCTCGAACGACTCGAAGTGTCTGACAAACTGTTTGAAAAGGAGGCAGCACAAATTATCTGAAGGAATTGCAAAAAGAAATGAAGCAAATGCTGTAAAAAAAGAGACCAGGATGATTGAAAGACGAAACCACGGCCTTGCATCTTGGAGAGTCGTGCAGCAGCAGCAATGGCAGCAATGTCAACTCCCGCTTGGCTGGCCTGAGCTCTTGCTTCGATTCACACTGGTTCTTTATCTTTTTTTTCTCTCTCTCTCTCTCTTTCGTTAAAATACGTCGTTACTTTACTACAAGTGCAAGTGTTGTTTATGCTGTCACAAACACAAATGTAGTTTCCCAGCATGCGCTCTTTTGCTTGTAGACTCAAGGCCCGGTCGAGTAGTGTACATCATACATGTACAAGGGACAAGTAGTACAGCATGATATTTGACACGGCCCCTTGGTTAAAAGACCCTGTAGTGTCTTTTCAACCATATCCAGAAAGGGGAAAAAGCGCAAAGGGCTCAAAGTAGTTTTGACTGCAAAAGGATCGAAAGTAGTATAACTACAACTCTGCTGGCTGTAGTCCACTGACTCTCAAAGATCAAAAGAAACTGTAGCATGTACAGGCTGTAGCTCTCCTGTTCAGGCCTCAGTAGTGGTACTGAGTGGAGTTCATGAGATACATCCCGATGTAGTTTGGACCTGGAGGTCCAAAGTTGTAGTGAAGCTGTGGTGCTGCTTCACTGATGTAGCATCACCTGTAGTTAGGTGTGCTTAGTCCAATGCTGGACTCTGTAGCCTTGTTGCTGACCAATGCGGTGGTCAAGGCTGGCGTAGTGGTTGGTGGTGAAGGTAGTAAGGAAGTCAGGGCCTCCTCGAAGACAAGTGTAGTTGATCTCTGGAGATGGAAGTGGTTGTTGAAATGTAGTGAGGAGTTTGTGTAGTAGTAGTTTGTGTTGCATGGGAAGATTTGTGGCAGTGAGTAGTGTGAATCCGTAGTATGTGGAACTCTTGTGCATGATGGTGTTGATTGCTTTGTAGTGGTGATCCTGTAGTTGTTGTGGTTGGTCGTAGTAGCTGAGTAGTTCAGGAAGGTGAAGAGGCATGTGGTAGTTCCAGATGTAGTTGTTGGACAGGTTGAAGGCCTTGGTGATCTGGTTCATGTCGTAGTTGATCCTGTGAAGTCGTTGGGGTAGTTGCCGAGTGGGTAGGTGATGTTGGCCAATGACTGACACCATGTGACTCAAGCAGTCACGAGAAAAGTTGATGAGGTGGCCGCTGCTGATGTAGTGTAGCAAAAATTCTTGAGGGAGATGAAGTCGAACAATGACCATGGAGTTGGTGTGCGATGTGGTGAGATGTAGTGAAGTCAAATGGTAGTAAAAGAAGTTGAACGCTTCTGAAAAGCGTAGGCTGAGTGGTAGTGAATCGTAGAGAGGCATTCGTAGGTCTGATGGCAGGTTGTGGATGGGTAGTTGGTAGTCGAGGTCTGGCATTGGTGTAGTCTGTTGTTGGCTGAGTAGTTGATACTCCTCCAAAGTCAGCCCCACGCAGACCTCGGCGTAGTTTCGTCCCTGATCCACAGTCGGAGTGTGGATACTGTCGTACTCGACAGTAGTGAGGTGGTTCAGGATGTCATCTGGCCTGTAGTTGGTCGGTAGCTGGTGGTTGAAGTGGTAGTTGAGGGCATTGTAGGCCTCAGGTGGCGGAGGCCATGCTGCTGGCATCTGTAGTGGAAGGTTGGTTGGGTGGTGTCGAAACTCGGTCAGGTGTAGTAGCGCCAATCTCCTGTGCTGGGACAGTAGTCTCAGGCGCGGTCGTAGTCACATCCATGGGTCCAGACATTGCTGGTAGTGCGATCAAACAAACGAAGTGAGACGGGGCAAAGTAGTGAGCCAAATGGTAGCTCACAAAAACACATGCGGGAATGTAGTAAAACAAAACAACATGCAATGTTGTCTCAAGCCGCCAAAAGCCGCCAAAGCGTGTGAGTGCAAATTACTGGTGGTTACAATTACTGTGACTTGTAGTTACTGTTACTATTACTTACATGGAGGTAGTTACATATAGCCATATACAAACTGTTGTGGTTGATGTGAAATAGTTGTGAAACAGTTGTTGTTCGTAGTGCTAAACGCGTATGCCTATGCTCTGTATGAGCCTCTGTGGTGTTTCTTTGCTGATGTATTTTGTGAACAAGTCTGAGCTGTTGTGTAGTGTGTTGATTTTGAGGATTCTGATGATGTCGTGCTTGATGAGGTCTTGTGTGTAGAGAAATTTAAGGTCGATGTGTTTTGCTCGTTTGCTAGTGCCTTGTCGTGTAGCAATGCTCTTGCCTGCTGTGGAGTCTGTGTGGATGCGTAGGTTTAGCTTGCTGCAAATGTTGGTTTCAAGTAGGAAGTTTCTGCGGTGTAGTCCCTCATTAACTCCTGTGCAAATGGCGTAGAGTTCAGACTCTGCTGAGCTGAGTGCTATTGTAGCTTGCGTTCTGCTGCCAAATGCAACTGTTGTTCCTAAAAAGATGATGTTGGAACCTGAAGTTGATTTCCTGGTAGTAGGGCATCCTGCCCAGTCGGCATCGACATGAACGTCGAGATCCAGGATGTTGTTGGTGTTTGCTCTGAGTGTTGTTGTTGGTTCTTTGGTGAATTTGTAGTGCTTGGCGCCGTGCAAGTAGCGTAGTAGATGTTTGACTCTCTTTTGTGAAAGTTCTGTAGGTGCTGTGAGGTCTCGTGCTAGTGGAGTATGCAATGTCTGGTCGTGTGTATGCTAACCATTGAAGTTTGCCAACAATCCTTCTGTACCTTTTGTGTTTTTCGTGGTCAAGTAGTGCGTCATCTTCTATTGTTGGTTTGTAGTGTGCAATTTCCTGGAGTGTTCACTGAGTTGCAGTTGTTCATTCCAGACTCCTCGATCATGTTGTCGATGTAGGAGTCCTTTAGTCCAAGATTGCAGTAGTTGCCAAAGTGGTCGATATTTCTTCCAAGAAATTGTTGTGGTTTGCCAGGTTCGAGGTAGCCGATGTGCTTGAGTAGGACCTGCTTCTGGATGGCCTCGAAGGTGGAGTCGACAGTAGTCTTGTCACCAAGTACCAAGAGGTCATCCACGTAGACCATGATGTAGCAGTCGCGAGTCGCATTGGTGTAGACGTTAGGTTCTGACTTTAGTCTTACAAAGCTGAGCTTTTGTAACACTTCAGCCAGGTAGTCCTGCCATGCTGTTGGTGAACTGCGTAGTCCATACATGGCTTTCTTTAGTCGCCAGATTTTGTCCTGTTGTGGACAAAGTTCTTTAGGTGGCCAAAGGTAGACGTCACGTTGTTTACCGTCGTGGTCTTTTGCGATGGGTGCGTGTAGAAATGCTGTAGAGACGTCACCTAGTCGCGCGATCCAGTTTGGTCGTGACATTTGTAGTGCGAGAAGTGTCCGGAGTGTCGTGAACATTGGTGTAGAGGCGTAGACGGAGTCTTCGTCCTCGATCTTCTCTGTGTAGCCTTTTGCGACGATTCGGCTTCGTACTCCTGGTCCTTTCTTTCTGTGTACCCATCTTGTAGGTATCGCTTCTCTGATGACGTTGTCATCGACGGTAGACGCATCTACTTCGTCGTAGACGTCATGTAGTTTCATTTGGTTGACTCGTGTTTCATTCCTTCCAGTAGTTGTGTTTCGTCGTAACCTTCATTATCGAAGATTATGGGTTGGTCTTCTGAGGTGTCGTCGTTTGTATAGGGTGTGATGGATTTTCCGTTGGGAAGTGTCACTGCGTTGATTTTCTGTCGTAGTGGTGGCGGTTCTTTGGTTGCTTGCTCCGTTGATCTGATTGTAGTGTCCTTTGAGGTCTTCTGTGCTTTAGTTGGTTGCATTACTTCTTCCGGAGTTAAACGTCGTAGTGCTTGTCGAGGTGGTGCTGGTAGTGGTGGGTGTTGTCGTCCGGTTGGTGAAGTAGCCATCGGACTATCCGGTAGTGGTCGTGAACTTGACGTCGATGTTGACGGAGGTCGTGGAGGTGGTGTAGTGCGTTGTTGTTTTGTTGCGGGTTCCGCAACGATGTCGTCAGTAGAGTTCGTTTGTTGTCCGAAATCTTGCGTGGACCTTCTTTTCTCTGACGGTTGTAGTTGCGTATCCAACAGTGTTGCGAACGATGGGTTGTAGGTGTTCCGTCGTGGTGCCCATGGTGCGCCGGAAACTTTGTTCAACAGTGCGAGGTCGTATTTGAAGTCCGGTTGTAGTCTCCGTACTGTTCGTACCTTTTGTACGCCTGATTCCGTTGCGACGTAGTTTTCTCCGGTTTCGGAAACTTTTCCGAGCCAGATGCATTTCTGCATCCGTAGGTCTGCTTTCGGAAGTTTCTTGTGTTGTGGTGGAAGGTAAAGTAGTGTCTTGCCAAATTCGCAGATTGCTCGCTCGTAGTTTCTTCCCCAGCGGCGTTCAAAGCTTGTGTAGCCGTCTGAGTGAATGACGTAGCGATTTACCGTCCATGCTGCATGTCGTACTATCCAAGGTAGTAGACAGTGCTTTGTGGACATCGTCATGCTGTAGTTGCTTTCAACTTGAGCTTTGACGACGCGGATTTGTCCGAGAAGTGTTCTATGTAGTCGCTCAACGCTTCCTTGACTGTTGCTGCTGTAGGATGGTGAATGTCGTACAGTCATTGAGCCGACTTTAGATGCTGTTGCTTTTAGTAGTGCATTGAGTGTGTCTTCGTTGTCGCTTTGTAGTATGCCTTGTGTTCTTCCGCATTCAAAGATGAATGCTTGTAGGTTGTTGATCATGTAGTCCATCATTGATGGTTTGTCCGGAACCAATACCGCCATGCACAGTTGTGTAGTAACATCAACTGCTGTTAAGACTGGTATGGTCTTCGGATCTTGTTGTGATTTGATGTAGGCAAAATCCACTTGGATGATGGGTTGTCGTGATTGTTGTTTCTTGTAGTTGTCCTGGCGTCCTTTGCCTTGAACGCAAATTGGACACCAATTTCTGTATGGTAGGTGTGTCAAGTTGTGTTCTGCTATTTGTTGTGGAGTGGGCTGCTGCGGTTGTCGTAGTCCTATTGCTCTGTGTGCTTCATGATGCTCGTGTTGTTGTTCCTCATCGTGGTTATCCTGGATGTACTCGTAGTCTTTCTTCACGGTGAACCTTGTTGTTCCTTTCCATTGAAATGGTAGTGCTGCGTTGCCCATGACTGTCCAGTCATCTTTGCGTTGCGAAACTTCTCCAAAGTGGTTGTGAGTGATTGTAGTTCTGTGAGGCTTCAAGTGTGCTGATTGGTGGATGTCCTGGTCCATCTGTTGGAGTGAATAGAGTTGTTCTAAGTGTTGTGTGGTGTCTTATCCAGTATTCACCTTGTCTTTCCCAGTAGTCTTGGTTGTCCTCCTGTGCTGTGAGTGGTCTGTGGATTGTCTCCTTTGGTTGTGTGGTGTCAAGATTTGTAGAAGGTGCTGCTTTAGGTCTCCATATCTTTTGTGGTGCTCGTAGTTGGATCTTTGATCTGGTTGGTGGTGTGTCCATTAGCCGTTGTGGTTGTGAGCTCTGCCTTGTTGGTGTGGTCTTTGATGTTGCTCTGCGTGTAGGTGTTATCTTTCTTCTGAATCTGGTTTCTCCAGTCCAGTTGTCACCTTCTAGTCTTCGTCGTAGTTCTTGCTTGGAAAGTTGTGTTGGGTTCTCTTGTAGTTGTTCTTGCTCTTGCCCTTGTCTGTTGATGATGGTTAGTCGCCAATCATCTAGTTCTCCTTCAGGTATTGGGCAACCGCTGTTGTGTGGTGTGAACAATGCTTTGCGTGGTCGTTTGTGTACTCTGATGGCGTAGTCACCATCAAGTTTCCAGTAGTCAGTGTTTCCACCAAGGATCTGTCGTAGTCCTTGGTCTGTGTGGGTGAGTGGTGCAATTTGTTCTTGTTGTTGTACTGTTTTCTCTGTAGGTTGAATCACAGCAATGGATTTTCCATTGTCTGTAGTCATTGGGTAGATGTCGAATCCTGTAGGGATGTCGATCTTCTCTGCTCGTAGGTAGAAAAGTCCTGAGTGTCTTATGAGGTGTGCTTGTTGATGTCCATGCGTGATGGTGCAATGTCGTGGAGTGAAGTCAAGTCCATATCCTCTATCAAGTAGTCTTGATGCACTGAGGATTGGATACTTCACATCACAAACGTAGTAGGGTATCATGATCCTGAAGTTGTCCTGCTTGTAGGGAACAGACTTGATGCCGTAGACCGGAATCTTCTTGTTTGTAACCGTGTAGAGTTGTGGAACCGATTCTCCACAAGGTCGTAGCGGTAGGTCTGGTGCGTAGTCCTTCGGGCAAACATGTGTAGATGCTCCTGAGTCGATCAACAGGTGGTGGTATGACTTGAAGTTGGAGTACATGATGTAGTGTGTGATGGTGTCCTCAATCTTCTTGTTCCTTTGTTGTTGTCTTGCTGCTGCTATGTCAAAGTGTGGCTGTGTGTTGTCTTCTTGTAGGAATTGTTGAAAGCTCTTGCTGTGGTCGTTCCATGATGTTGTGTGTGTTGTTCTCTTGCCAAGTAGTGATTTGGATTTGTGCTTGTGTAGTCGGGAGTTTGCTTGTCTGATGTGTCCAATGGTGAGGTGTGATTCGTTGATGCCTCCAATGTAGTTTGCTGTGTCATCATAGCTGTTGTCATTCCAATCCCAGCTGTTGTCATAGTCGTAGTCGTTCCAGTTCTCCTCCATGTAGTTCACCTCGTGTTGTCCTTCTTCTCCTTCGTAGTACCAGTCCCAAGTGTCGTTCACATCCTGAGGTAGTTCTTCATTGTTGTCATGATCTGCTTGTTCTTGTTCTAGTGGATGTAGTTCTTCTCCTTCTCCTATGTGCCATACTGGCACTCTGCAGTCTTGTGCCCAGTGGCCAGGCTTGCCACATCGATGGCATGTTGTGTAGTTGTTGTTTCCTTTTCCTTTTGATTTGCTGTAGTTTCCTTGGCCTTTGTAGCCTTTGCTTGATCCATATCCTTTGGATCCTGAGTAGCCTTTTCCTTTGCTCTTGTTGTATCCTCCTTTGTTGTAGTTTCCTTTGCTGCCTTTGTCGAATCCTTTGTAGTGGCCTTTGTTTCTGTACTTGCCTTTTCCTTTGTTTCCTTTGTAGGATCCTTTGCCTCCATATTTGCTTTTGCCTTTGTAGTTTCTTCCTTTCCTCCAAATGTTGTCCACGTCCATGGGTGCTGTTCCACCATTGTAGTTTGTGCCAACCGCTGAGCTCGCTCTTGAGAATGCAGATATGGTCTTGTAGTAGTCCAGGATCACAACTCTGATCTCGTTGTAGTTTGTGATCTGTCCAGCACGTAGTTGGAGATGTTGTTGAAGTGCTCCTTTGGTCTTGTTGAGTAGTATTGCAATCTTCACTCCATCTGGTAGTGCTGTGCCGTTGTCTTTCTCGTAGCGGTTGATGTCATACTCCCACTGTAGAAATTGTTCTTCAAATTGTGCTTCATTGAATGTAGGTTCCAGTAGTTTGGTGAGGTAGCCAACACTGCGTGTTCCTATTGGTAGGCTGAACCTGTTGTGCAAATGCCGTAGTGTTTCACATCCATTGGCATTTTTGTCTGACCACTGTAGCTGCTGCACCTTGGCAGATGTTGATGAGGATGCAGCGTAGATCTCGTGAGAGGTCTCCTGCTTTTGCTTGTTTGTGTAGGGTCGAGTATGTGTGTTCTGATGTCTGTGTCCTCAATCTGTCGTGTAGCCACTTGTGCTAGTTGTAGCACTAGGTCGAAGTCTCGGTCTATGAGTCCGAGGTATGCTTGTAGTTTGAACAGCCACTCTTCGTACTGTGAGTAGTCACCAGTGAAGAACGGTGGTGGCAGTTTGTATTTGTGTAGCCTTTGGACGTCTTCCTGCTCCTGTGTTGTTCCCGTAGTTGTGGCTCCTATTGTCTCCTCTGCTGTGGGCCCGTTGTCTGCTCCTGTAGTTGGTTGTGCTGATGCTGCTGCTGGTTCTCCTGACATGTCGTAGTAGTTAGGCATGTGGTTGCCTGTGCAGTTGTAGTACTTACTGCTGTCACTGGAGCTCCCCTATGTTTAGGATCTCAGGTCCGCTACCACGTTAAAATACGTCGTTACTTTACTACAAGTGCAAGTGTTGTTTATGCTGTCACAAACACAAATGTAGTTTCCCAGCATGCGCTCTTTTGCTTGTAGACTCAAGGCCTGCGGTCGAGTAGTGAACATCATGCATGTACAAGGGACAAGTAGTACAGCATGATATTTGACATCTTTCTCTCCCTCTCTCCCGTTTCTCTCCTCATGGGCGATCTCCGCCAACAAGGGCACGCCACCAGCAGAAAGCAGCTCCAGGGGATCACCTGATCGGACACGGGTGACACACGCTGCCCATCCGTGATTTGTTGCGGCCCTTGGCAAATACATGTTCTATACGTATGTGTGTGTATATGTACTTGTGTATGCATTTATATATATATATATGCAAACCCCCCCCCCAAGGACCCTGGTTTCACTGCCTCTTGGGGATGGCAAATGTAGAAATTCAAAGTTTATATTCTCCAAATTTCCACTAATGGGTCCCCCAAGCGTGATAATTTGGAGCCCGGAGTCCTCCACAATGTCCCAGTATGATCCCTTTCCAAATAAGATGTTACTTCAACTAGAATTGGAATTTTGAATATAGTTTAGTATGGATATAGTCTTCAAAAATATGTTTATGTTCAATTACAGCTTAAACAAGTAAATTCTTTCCAAATAGCAGCTACATGAAAATGCAAATATATATTTTCGGCTAAACTCCAACTAATCTATAACACAAGAAGTTAGATGGAAGCTTTTGCCCAAATATAATCTAAGACGAACACAACTCAATTTGCTTTTGATAATATCAAGTGAATAGAGACTACATCTCAAAGATAGTTCATATTAAATATGGCTAAACATTTAAGGGACTTCTACAAGGAAATTCAAAATACGATTTGTGTTATTACATTCTGGCCCTTTTGTAGCATAAGAAAGGTCCGACATTGAACTTGTTAGACCTACCAAAAGGCACGCCTCAGTTCAGATAAAATCCCCTCAACCAACCACTTCAACCATATAACCAGCTGGGGCACGGCACCTCAACCAATTTTACCACCTACCTCCCTAAATCCCTAAATTCCAAATTCCAAATCCTAAACTCCCAAAATACAATTTTCTAAATTCTCAATGTTTTTATTGTAAGGATTATGGAATAAGTCATAATTTACGTTCATGATAATAATTTAATTGATGATGAGACAAATTTCTACGTTCTTTACTTCTTTCATACATCATTTTAAAAATAATATTAATATCTCTCACTATGTTTTTAACATTAAACTTTTTACGTTCAATATATGTTTTACATCACACCCTTCCCTACTATGATGAGTAAACATCCTTCATATACCTGTTAATCTCCAAAAATTGTCTATTATATTTTGATATCGTCTCCATCTTTTACAAGTTCTACATACATCTTCTTCGCCCAACCCATAATCAATAATATTATTGACTATTCCAGTAGGTAAATTTAATTTATACAATTCCATATCTTCTTTTTTGAAGTGGCAACAGTCATAGCATTTCTTATTAATATACTTATTGATTTCATTTCTTCACTATTAATATGGTGTTTTTAGGTCTATTTCGCCAAAAAGGGAAAATCCCATAATTTCAAAACATAAGTCTTACAATTAAATTTTATTGTAAGGTTTACGGGTTGAAAAAATAGTCAGGCAATATGTCTTCAAATAAGTAATCTACATATTTACCACTCATCTTCATCTATATTTGATATTGTCTTTTCCTATTATTGAATATATATATATTCCCAGAAAAACAAAGTAACTAATAGACATACTTTATATGTAGTGTTGTAGTAATACCATATACTATATTTAGTTGCTCGAAATTCGTTCAGGACCTCGTTTATTTTATCTTTGCTAAATAAATGCCAGTCAACCCGTTCAAACAAATAGCGGCATTTTTCGACAAATGATTTATATGGCTTAATTGCGTTTGTCCCTCCAATCCTCCTAATTAAATCTTCATTACTAAAGAATTCATCAATTTCTTTTTCATATGACTTTCTGGGGGTCTGATGGTAAAAGTGTATAGGAAATCTTGCTTGGCATTGCATAAAGAATTTCAATTGTAATTGAAACTTTGTACATCCCTTATCCTTATGTTCTTCAAGAAAAGCTTTTCAAGGTCTCTTGTTATACAGCATTGATTGCAATATACATTGTATTCACTTATTTTATTCCATACATTTGCTGGTAGTAAATGATGTAAGGTTAAAATTAAATCATTCATTTTGCATTTACAGCATTCGCACTTGCTATAGTTAAACAACATTTCACTAATATCATAAGGCGGATTTTCTTTAAGTGTATTTCGCTTACTATTACACGTTCAATGATTCGTGTCTCAAATAAGGATTAGTTTTTCCTTCCAGATGAAAGTAAGGTTGACCTAATTTACTATCAGTTGATTTTACTTTAAATACTTCTTTTAACCAATGACTGGTATGTGCCTTTTCGCTTATGCCTTTCTTCCTCATTATTTTTACATTACTTCCTACGTCTAATTCTGGACACATTCTAGTTTTCTTTGCTTGTATTGTAATATTCATTTTAACTTGAAATTTGTTCCTTTTCATTCTTGCTTCCTTCGGTGTAAATTTAGGTGCAGAATGAATAATTTTCTTCTTATAACTTAATAGTATTTCAAAAATATAACCCGTCCATTGGATGTTCTGCTTTCCATTTTTCTTGTCCGCTTCAACTCTTTTAAAAGTTGGTCTTCAAAAAAAATTATTCCACGCTCTGCAAATGCTGGATGACCTCTAGTTCTATGTAATTCAATTTTCTCCTCCTTCAAATAATCTGGTACTGATTGGTCAAAAAACTGCCTTCCTCGTCGGTATAAACTAATTTCGGTTTGTCACCCATCTTATTGATATTCTCCATCATTCCTGCTAAAATGTCTGGCGGGGTCTTTGATTTAATAGGCACGATATGCATATATTGCTAAACATATCAATGCGTATCATACCAATTCTAAACTGTTGATTTTTCAAATCATTAGTTGAAATAAAAAAACATATCTACTTGAAATTCCCCTCTATTTCAGGCTCTTGTTGCTGTAACCATTTCTGGTGTTTTTAATTTTTTCGTGTCTTGCCTTCTCGGTCTTTTGAACAGTCCTACCACGTTGGCAATGGTATGGTTCCATTTCTTTTGCTCTGGTTGTCTCCTTGTGTATTTCTCGGTATATTTTGTCCATTGCTTGTTTGTGTTTTTGTTTTGCTCTCTACATTCTATGCCTTTTTGCTTGTAATGTTCTTTGTTTTCTTGATAGTGATTTGCTTTGTATTCTTTCAGATGTTCTTGGTTATCATCCTTCCATTGTTTATAATATTCATCAAGTTTATCCTTGTTTTTTGCTCTATATTCCTTGCTCCATTCATTCCTATCTCTTCCTGCTACCACTCTATTTATACACGCTGTGTTTTCAATGTGGTATCCTTCTCTTGCTTCAAGTTCTTTCTTACTATTGCAAGAATAATCTTCAACCAAATAAATGTTACAACTGTCAATGCCATATTCATCAAATAGATAAAAGCAAGTGCAACCTTTGACCTTGGCATTTTTTCGGTTGTAGCGATAACTTGCTTTGTGTCGTGCTAGTCTTCTGCTTAAACCTTCAGTTGTGCTACCTACATGGCATTTACTGAAGTCAGGACTGACTATCTTATAGATCTGACCTTTCTGAGATTTATCACTCATAGTAACCCTATTTATCTTAAGTTATCTCTTCTTTATACCTTTTAACTTGCACTACAATTACAATACACACACCACGCCTCACAATTGTCAACACAATGACTAACACTTCCATCTACACGCTGGGCGGTAAAATTACTTGATATTCTTGCATTTTTGGTTTCAATGTTAAACTTTATTCCGCATTTCTGACAGCATCCTTTTAAGCATGTTAGACACCAGTGTTCATCAATATAATTGTCTTCATCATTTTCTAACTGATTACGCCTATCTTGCTGTTTATATCCTTCAACTTTGTTTTTAAAATAGTTGATTACCAAAATCTTAAACATATCTTCTTCCCCCTCTTTGTTCTTGTAAAATAGACATTGTTAAAATCCCTCGCTCGTGTGATAGAAGTCCACAACCATTCCCTACAAACTAAATAATCTTTGTTCCATTCGTGAATGGTCATATTATCACTGATTGATGTCCCCTGTCTGCTATGAGTGGTAGCACAGTAAGCATATCTAAAATGCTTATCTATAATATCAATGTCAAACGTCCTAATCTGTTCCGTATCCTGAAAATCTTGTATTGTTATTTTGTATCGTTCAATGTTTGTAATTTTCCATCTAATATTAACATTCAGTTTTCCTTCCTTGTCCTTTTTGTAAAGTCTGCATATTAAAACTTCTCCAACAGTGTATTTGCATGTTTTACCTAATCTTTTTCTAATCTCATTTCATACTGCCTCGCATCTTATATTTGTATATGCTATGTTGTTCACGCTTTTCATAACATCTTTAGTAAATTTGAAACGCTTAACTATCCATTCTTCAACTGCCATCTTTTTAATCCAAAAGTCAGCATAGATTTCATTCAGTTTCTTTCTCCTTCTTCTGTATCCTTACCGCCTACTCGCTTACATATCTTTAAAAATATGTTACATTTAAAATAATGGCAATACATTTGTCAATGTATTCACCTGCATTTTGAGTATTAGTGAAAGGTTCAATCGGTGGCAGTTGCTTGACATCACCAGCACCTATAATTATGATGTCAGGACTGTTATTTGCAAACACCCTTATTTTGTTCAGTATGTGAGGACTGGACATATAAATCTCATCAAACACTATACATTGAAAATCTTAATAGGTCATCCCCTTTGTCAACTGGAATGCTAAAGAATGTATTTACTGTCACTGCGTCACATTCAATCTCTTCTTTTAACATATTTTGAGGCACAACAAAAAGTGTAGTGTATCCTAAATTTTGCATACACTTGCCTATAAAACTCTTACCGCTCCCAGCAAATTTGGCTCTAACTATAACTCTTCTTTTTTGAATAATCTTATTACAGATGCTTGCAACATCCCACTCATCTTCAGTTGGTATTGTTTCATTCTCAAAAGTTCGTATTTTTACCAACTCATTAAACTTCCAACTGTAATCAGTTTCCAGTTCATAGACTTTATTACTTTCTACTCTCCAAACCTCCAATATCGTTTACGAAAATCTAACAACTTCTTCGCCTTCCTTACATCTTTCTTTGCAATATGAAAGGC